GGTTGTGAGCCACCATGTGGTTGCTGGGAATTGAACTTAGGACCTTTGGAAGAGCAGGCAGTGCTCTTAACCTCTGAGCCATCTCTCCAGCCCCTTGACTTGAATCTTATGCATGGCAATAGATATGGATCTCTCTTCATTCTTGTACATATTGATACCCAGTTATGCAGCACAGCACCATTTCTTGAATATGCTTTCTTTTTTCCATTTGATATTTTTTGCTTCTTTATCAAAAATCAGGTGTTTGTGGGTGTGTGGGTTGATATCTTTGATTCAGTTCCATTTGTCCTGTTTTTACACCAATTCCAGGCTGTTTTCAGTATTGTAGCTCTGTAGTAGAGTTTGACGCCAGGGTTTGTGATGCAGAGGTGGTTGAGTGTTCAATGGAGCTTCAAACATGTCCTCATTCATTCTGAGACAATGGCCTCAGGCCCCCAGAGCTCTTCCAGTGGGGCACATCGCTGACTGACTTTGCTATACCTTGTGATCCTGCACCTTGAGGAGGGTCCACTGGTGCTCTGCCCACTGTGCTCACAGTGCCAAACCCTACATAACCACTGTGGTCAGTTCCCTGAGGAGAAGCTGAAGCTAGTCCCATAAGAAGTACCCATCGAGAGAAGAGATGACATTAACCTCTTAGCTTACTTGCTCTGGACTTTCCTGACCTCTTGCTACACAACCTGACTGAACAGTAAACACAGCTATTTGGCTCAAGGCAGAGAACAAAGTGCAGCCTTCTCCCCTTCATAAGGGACCAGGTGCCCAGTCTGTCCTCAGAGTGTCTTTCCTGATCCTAGGTGTCTGGTGCAGGCATTCCCCTAATCAGCCTGGGGAGCAGGGGCAGCCATGGCACTGCTGATTGGAGATGGCCTGTGGTCTGTGGTCCTATTCACGGCCATCTTCCTGCTCCTGGTGGACCTGATGCACCGACGCAAGTTCTGGACCGCCCGCTACCCTCCAGGTCCTGTGCCCCTACCTGGGCTGGGCAACCTTCTGCAGGTGGACTTTGAGAACATGCCCTACAGTGTGTACAAGGTGAGAGATGGCAGTGGAGGGCAGTAGAGGTCATGGTGCCCCCAGCAGTACGTGGTGGTGCTGAAGCCTCAGGATAGACAGGAATATGGCCACCAAGAGAGAGAAGGCTTAGTGGTTGTCTGGTCGCAGTTACTTCTCATTAGGAGGATACTGTGGACTTTCTAAAAGCAGAGACATATATGGAAAAGGCCATGGAGGCAGGCCTGGAGTGTGGTTGTACAGGACAGAAGTCAGGGAGGTCGCAGTTTTCTTGTGATCCCATCAGTGTCTGTGGTCTCAGTTACAGAGAGGAGGATCAGGATTCATTGTAGCATGTCAGTGAGGATGGGCTGCGTCTGTTATAGTCTCTTGCTGCTGTATGGTGTTATGCCTTGCTGCCCATCTCAGGAACCTGATTCCCTCATGTATGGTGGGGTATGAGGGAGTGCGGATCATTTTCTCACAAGATGACAACTTAATGATCGTATCTGCTGTGAGAACTTTGCTGGATTGAGAGGATAGGATCATGCAGGCATAAGGTGTCATACCTCAGACTAGAGATGTGGTCGGTGGTAGAGCATTTTCCCAGCATAGGGCAGGACCAAGGTTCACAATGCATATCCACACAATGTGCTTATGTGTAAATGCACACGTGACACACACAACACACAGACACACATGTTCTGTGTTGAGGTTATATTGTCCAGGTCACTAGGGATCTCCATTTTCTAAGCATTCTGTCCCTCTACTTCAGCTTCGTCAACGCTATGGTGACGTGTTCAGCCTGCAGATGGCCTGGAAGCCCGTGGTTGTG